GGAGGAGAGGGAACGGCCTCAGGCTGGGCCAGGGGAGGTCAGGGTGGATATTGAGGAAAATTCCTTCACTGAAGGGATGGTCAGCTCCTGGCACATCCAGGGCAGGGGTGGAGTCCCCATCCCTGGAGGGGTTTAACAGCTCTGTGCATGTGGCATCTGGGGACATGGGGCAGTGGTGGCCTTGGCAGTGCTGGGGGAATGTTTGGACTCGATGATCTCAGAGAGCTTTTCCATCCTTAACGATTCTCTGATCAATGTTGCTCCCCAAATGTACATTAGAGACTTGTGAGCTCCAGAGGGACCTGCCAAGGACAGCTGAAATCTGAAGGGGCTGCAGTTTGTTCTCCACAGCTCTGTGCCCCTGCTGGGAATGTTTTTAAGTCTGGAAACTGCTTGAAAAGCTATTGAGTGCCAGCTCCTCCAAGAGCCAAGTGCAGGGCTGAGAGGAGGCTGTGTCACACAGGAGTGATCATACCCACAGGTATTGTACACAGCAACATCCACACACACCCCACAGTGCAGGGAAATCATTAACAACAATGAAATCATTAACAACACCTCCCCGTGGAAACCTGATCTGGTAAATGCTGAGAACCAGAGAAGCCCTGACTGTCACAACCCAGCCCCAGGAACCCAGAGGGTTCAAACAGCCTCATGTGCCTGCTCAGGTGTGGCAATGGCTGAGTCATCCCTGTTCCACAACCTCACACCAGGGATACAACCTTCCCACTTTTCCCTCACGTGGATTTCAGTAGGCAGAAGATGTTTTAGCAGACAGCAGAACAACAGGGAAAACCAGAAAAGAATGTTCCCAGCTCTGTGCTCAACTGCATTCTCACTCTTTGCAGAGGGATTTTAACAGCTGGAGATGGAAGGTTATAGCTTTAAAGACAGATTTTGGGTTTGTGCAAATAATAGCACAGTTTTAAACGATATTTCACCAGGAAATTGGAATACTTGAGCAAGTCTCTAGTTTTGTTTTCATTTATGAAATGAGAAAAGGAAACAGAGCATACCTTTGTCCATCGGCAGAGCTTCACCCCAGAATGGCTCCCAATGAGTTTATAACCTGAAAACAAAGCACAATTCATCGAACAATTGGCTTTAGCCTGAAAGAATTGATAGACAAAATACACCAAGTGGCACCCAGAGTGACTGACACCATGGACTCAATGCTGCTCTTCCCCACTGGCCCCAAGGTGACAGCACAGCAATGGCAATGCCACCCCAGAGACCTCAGCCAACTGGAAATGGTTTCTTTTCGTGGGACATGTATTGATATTGCTGAGTCTGGTTTGAATCAGGGTGCCCAGGGATTCCTGCATGGACAGAATGGCACAGCCTGTCTAACCCAGGCTGTGGGACAGCTCACAGTGCCAAGGAGCAGGACAGGAACCAGGAGCACCTCCCTGGCCCCAGGCCATGACCCCAGAACAGCCAGAACCCAGGATCCCTGTCCCAGTCTGCAGGACAGGAGCTGATTCCCAGTGCAGCTGGGAGGGCACAGGAGGGGAACACAACCAGGGCTCAGCCTGAACCCCACCTGAGCTTCAGCAGTTCCACCCCACTGGCTCTGGGGCAGCCACGGAAAAGGAGCTGCTCCGCCACACCCAAAGGAAAGCTGAGCTTAGATCAGCTCCTCATTCCCCAGCCAAGATCAACACAATTCCATTCCAATGGGTCCAGGAGGATTAATTGCACAATGTTCGTTAAGCACTAAGTGTTATTATTACCCAAACTGCTCGAGTGGGGTTATATTCCTCTTTGAGAAAAGTGCTTAGAGGCCAACACGTCTGAAGGATTAAAAGTCCCTTCCAAATCAGCATAAAAATAAGAGGGATTTGAGATGCCTCACTGTGTCCCTCACAGTGGTTCATACGTCACCTGCCTGGCTGTCCCCAAGCTCAGCACCTCTCAGCTGCCTATAGCACCTTCCTGCTGCTCTTAACACTTTCAAGGAAAGGAAAAAGATCAGATTTTAGCTATCAAGTCTTTTTCCTGCCAACCAGCACAAACTTAACCGGGAAAAAGCCTTCAGCTCAGCAAACTGGCCTTCAGCTCCTCCACAGAGCAGCAGCACGAGTGCCCTGCACTGCTTGTCTGTCCCTGAGCAGCTCTGGCTTTGCAAGAGGAACTGCATCCCAAAGTCCCTCACACCTGCAAGGACACAGAGCCAGCCAGGAATGACAGGAGCAGAAGATGCCACAACAGCTGCAGCAGGTAGAAATGAAACTGTGCACACAGACAGGGCTAACAGGAAAACAAACAATGCTCTGCTCCTGCCATTCAAACCCAGCAGGGACTGCCCAGGCTCCTCTGCCCACTCCACCTGATGGTGTTTGATCCATCTCCTCACACTGGAATAAACGGGCAGAGTGACTGCTGCTGTAAGAAGGCTGGAGAGGGACTGGGGACAAGGGATGGAGGGACAGGACACAGGGAATGGCTCCCACAGCCCGAGGGCAGGGATGGGTGGGATATTGGGCAGGAATCGTTCCTGTGAGGGTGGGCAGGCCCTGGCACAGGGTGCCCAGAGCAGCTGTGGCTGCCCCTGGATCCCTGGCAGTGCCCAAGGCCAGGTTGGACATTGGGGCTTGGAGCGGCCTGGGACAGTGGAAGGTGTCCCTGCCCTGTCCCTGTAAGGTCCCTTCCAGCCCAAACCGTTCTGGGATTCTGTGACAGCCCTTCTAAGACAGTCCCCAAAGCCAGGGCAGTCTTGGGGGACACCTTTACCTCAGACTGGCTGAGACCCAGAAGATGCTGGTGCAGGTTCCAGGGGCACAGCCACACACACACAGCTCCACGTGGCTGGAACCCAACACCTCCCTGCCCTGGCTCTGTCCTGCCTCTTTCTGCAGCTTTTCTCTGCAAACAGCTTGTCCAGCAAGGTCCAATCTCAGCTGAAACCTCCCTGCTCTGCTAAACTGTGTGTCCTTACAGGATTTGTTGATGAGCTGAAAAGGTGCTGCATTCCTCCTCCCTCTAATACAGCTGTCCAAGGCACACTCTGCTGCTGTCACCCAGCACAGCCCAAGCCTTTTTTTTCCCATTTCTCCAAACCCAGCACCAGCAGTCATATGAGATTATGCTCTCACAGATCACTTGTCAGTAACAGCAACATGGTTGCTTTCAAATGGGTTTTGCAGAAAAATTACATTGGAAATAGGACATGCCCACCCAGATCTGCTACTGAGCTGTTTGAGGGAAGAGAAGAAGCAGCTGAACTGAGCAAGGTGCCAAGCTCGAGCTCCAGCATTTTCTCTTAAGTTCCTTAAATCAACTTCCACCGTGTGGAGCACCCACAGCTTCCTTTACAGGCCAAGAAAATTCTACATGTTCAACATCAAAACTGCCTTACAAACACCAGTCAGCTTTGGGAATGAGAGGGGGGTTATTCATCTCTGGCACTGCCAGGAGTGGTGACACCACCAGCTGTGGTGACAGGAGGGAGCAGCAGAGATGTGCAGAACTCCTAAACCCACAGAACTGGGGTCCTGCACCGTGTGGGGAACCAGGAGACGGTATGGTCACCCAGCACTGGGTGCTGGCCAATGCAAGCTTCTGACACTTGGGAATGAGAAAAATACCAGAGGCCAAGGCTGGACAATTGTTCCACCCCTGCTGCAGGTGAGCAGAGACCCTACAACCCTGCAAAGCTTTTCCTCAGCACTGCCTGCACTCTGGGAAGGAGGCAGCAGAGCAGTCTAGGAGAAAGGATAAAAGGTTAAGTAAGAAACTGGGAGTGTGTCCCAGAATCACAGAACTGTTCTGGTGGGAAACTCCTCTGAGATCATGGAGCCCAACCATTCCCCAGCACTGAACCTTGTCCCCAAGTGCCACATGCACAGGGCTGTTAAACCCCTCCAGGGATGGGGACTGCCCTGGGCAGCTGTGCCAGGACTGGACAATCTTTCAGTGAGAGATTTCCCCAATATCGACCCTGACCTCCCCTGGCCCAGCCTGAGGCCGTTCCCTCTCCTCCTGTCCCTGTTCCCTGGAGCACAGCCCGACCCCCCCGGCTGTCCCCTCCTGTCAGGGAGTTGTGCAGAGCCACAAGGGCCCCCCTGAGCCTCCTTTTCTCCAGGCTGAGCCCCTTCCCAGCTCCCTCAGCCTCTCCTGGGGCTCCAGACCCTTCCCAGCTCTGTTCCCTTCCCTGGACACTCTCCAGCCCCTCAGGGTCTGTCCTGTCCTGAGGGGCCCAGGACTGACTCCGGATTGGAGGTGTCTCAGCAGTGCCAGCACAGGGGACAGTCCCTGCACTGATCGACCACGGGATTCTGGTACCCAAAGGCTCCCTTCTGGAAGCTCTTCCATCAACCTTACCACAACATCCCTGTGGCTCTGCCAAGGCCAACAGTGCTTGAATCCAATCCTCCTGATGGCCCCAAGTCTGGAGCTGTGGGTGCCAGGGCTCCCTGTGAACACATTCCCCCCTTGCTCAGAAGGGCTGTGACTCGTGACCAATAACTCTAAGTGGATATTTGGATACAGCACCTTTCAAACAATCCAGTGTTTGATGGACCTGCTGCTCCCCACCCTTGTGTACCTTCAGACACAAAAGCTGAACAAACCTATCTGTTTATTATTTCCACAGTCTAATATGCAAAGGATTCCTGCAGTTATAAGCAGGCTCACAGTAATCAGCTAAGCTCCCAACTAAAGGACAAGAACATCTCATCTGAAGGCTGGGTATGAGTTGATCCTGCTCTAGATGATAAATTTTAGATGACCTAGAGGCTTGCCAAACTTCACTGAAATTAAGTGTCACTTTTATAGACATGAATTAAGCTTTTAAACAACCTTTGGGGTGAAATGAGTGTTATCAGGCACTAACACCAGGCTGAGGAACATGTGGTGATTGCTCACCCTGACAGGCCAACTGCAGTTTAATAGAGCACAGAGGGACGTGGAGCTGAAGAGATGGCCAAAGTCACAGCTCCTGATTGCTCCAGAGGCTGGGGCAGGACTGTGCTCAGCTCTTTGGAACCATATTGCAGCAGTTCCACTCCATCCTGGAAATCTAAGTTTAACAGTCCTTTCTCTGAAACTCAAAGAACTCATTGAGGGACCCAGCTGAGCTCTCAGCACTGAGCCAGGACACTGCTGTCTGTATTCCCAAGGCACATTCCAGCATCCAGGTGCACTGGATGTGGTTTGCCAGACACACATACAGTCTTTCCAATCTCCTGGACATGGATGAATTATGTCCATAACTGAGCAATTCTGTTATTTCTGAGAGCAGAGCAGATCAGCTAATTTCTACAAGCACAAATGTCCCTACCAGGAGCTGTGTCCCTCCACCTGCACTCTCTGAACAACCCTAACAGCCGTGCTGAGCAGCCTTCAGGGACTGCACACTACCCCCAGGTGGCAAAATGTCCACAACAAAACCCACAGACACTGAATCCCTGAGGTTAGAAAAAACCTCCAAGGTCACTAAGCCCAAGCTGTGCCCGATGCCCACCTTGTCCCCAGCCCAGAGCACTGAGTGCCACATCCAGCCCTTAACTGGGCACCTCCAGGGATGGGCACTCCAAACCTCCCTGGGCAGCCCCTGCCAATCCTCAATAATGCTTCCCATGGGGAAATTCCTGTTGGTGTCCACCCTGACCTCCCCTGGCCCAGCCTGAGGCCGTTCCCTCTCCTCCTGTCCCTGTTCCCTGGAGCACAGCCCGACCCCCCCGGCTGTCCCCTCCTGTCAGGGAGTTGTGCAGAGCCACAAGGGCCCCCCTGAGCCTCCTTTTCTCCAGGCTGAGCCCCTTCCCAGCTCCCTCAGCCTCTCCTGGGGCTCCAGACCCTTCCCAGCTCTGTTCCCTTCCCTGAACACGCTCCAGCCCCTCAGGGTCTGTCCTGTCCTGAGGGGCCCAGGACTGACCCCAGGACTGGAGGTGCCCTAGCAGTGCCAGCACAGGGGACAGTCCCTACCTGGTTGAAACCTCCCAGTTCTCATCTCTGCACCACCCAAAGTTTGCTTTGACCCAAAATTCCAAAGCAAAAGATTCAATACCGAAAGAAAGAAGGAGATCTGTGGTTGAAAAAGCTCCAAAAACCACAAGGAAAAGACCGAGC